GCGTACTACCAGAAACAAACAACCAAATCCACGAGACTCGCGGCCGTTAGCACTATAAAAGGGGCCGTCTCGGTGTAATATAGAAAGTCTGTATCCAAGTATGTACGAGTATTTCTGAAACGAGCCCTTTTAATATGGGATCACAATAAAATGTCACACGATATTCACTATCCGTCATGAAATTTCAGAGCACTGTATGTATCTCATTTCAGCTACAGCTTTCATGGACCGCTTCAAAAACATCTACTATTGAATAAGCACACCTGTCACAAACACGGCCACAGCGAAAAGAGGGAGAAATGGATGCTTGTATGAACGCGCAAACTGCCACTTGGGGGAATATGGCCTCCTAACAAAATAGGAAGACTTCATCGGATTTAGAATAAATCGTCAGAGTGTGCGCATGCCAGCGAAGATGATCAGAAATTACCAAATCAATGTTGCTAGCAAGTTTCCTCATTGACTCACGAAAAAAAACTATGGAGTCATGCACTTGAGAATTCGTGAAGGAAAGGCGTGGCATGAAAGAATTTTTAGTGTCTCTCATCATGAATAACATATCGCCGACTTTCGTTAATTAATTACGAAATGTGCGGAATTTGCGAAAGATTCAACTTCGTGTAGTGTGCTTTGGCACTCGTGCAACTCGCTAACACCTTAAATTGGTAGGAACATCGCGTCATCATTTATCATATAATTTCAGCACTTAATTGGCCGCCATGCATTAGATAGTTATTAGTAGGCAGCATTAACAAAAAGGGAAACAGAAATGGTCTCGTTTTATCAGAAATTGTCCAGCAAACTCTCCATTAAGCTTATATTTGCCCTGCTGTGAGCCATAGGGATGGTACGGTACCCAAGCGGTTTATTAAAATTAATATCTGTGAGATTTACTGCAGCATAATGATTAACCAAGATGCAACAGAAATAAATAAATCCCAAATTTTCCCAAATCCAACGGAGACTTCACTCGCAAATTAGGAACGGCGAACAGCTTGAAATACTGCATTTCAAGAGCTGAAACAACTTACCTTATTCCCAATGTTAATAAATGCCTACCTTCAGATCGCTGTATTTCAAAAAACATTTCTGAGCGAGGCGCAGTTGATGGATGACTGCAAGTTTCAATTTGGGCAACAGTTCGAGAAGACGTTCCTCAACGTTTGCGATGTAGACCACATTTAAGTTGATCGGTATCTTGTAGACTGTAAAGTCTACTAAAGCAAAGTTACCAAATTACCACAAATTTTATAAATAAAATTGATATGAAACGTGAAAAGCAAGAAGCTCACGCCCAAATATAATAAATTAACAAGCAGCATAGACAGACAAAAGGTAACAAACGGTCGTGGAACCGTGTCTTATAAAATTAAAACCCGAGAACCCTAAGAGCAATGAGCCTATGTATCAACACCATCGAAACAGAGAGTTTTTTTTTAAATCGAATCAACGGAGACGGTTGCAATGACGACGTTATATGATAGCATATATGGATTACTGTAGGACAAATGGACTGTAAAATATTACCAAATAGTGTGCCACTTCGAACGACGATGAATTCTATTTCTACGCTAAAATATAACTTAAGAATTTAATGATGCCCTTGATTCAATGCGGTGTTGTCGATTTTTGAACTTATATGAACATAGTACATTATGTTTGCACATGAAGAAATGCTTATATCTGAAGTGATTGGTCTTTGTGTAGTGGAAAATGGGCGAAACAGTACAGTCTTGGAAACAGGCGGAAAAAATAGTTTCTTCCAAGGATTAGTGGTGTGAAAAGTCTTGAACATGGCACATCGAGGCACAGTCCATTGAGAGCCGCTCGTTCTTCAGACTGAGAAAACGCAGTTACGATGTGATCAGGATGCCAAAGATAAACTCTCCAAGATCACTGTATTGGCAAAGCCATTAAGCAGAAGACCTAGTTTTGTTGCATCTTCGAATTCAGGCTTGGAACTTGTCCGCTGGACGGCGGACCACAACTTTTGGAAAAGTCCCCTGAAGCAGAACCGTTTTGCACAGGACAAAATGAAACAGCAAGCTTTAGAAATGAATAAATGAAAAGAATCTATAACTTAGCGAAACTATAGGAGGAAAAACTGAAGCATTTAAAAGGGCAGATCAGTTCTCATAAAACAAAATTTTTTAATTCTTAAGAACACCTTCCACGAACTCATCGAAAGACGCTGTACCGGTATCTTCTTCGAAACAGAAATAGAAGCAATGAAAGAAAAACTTAATATGAGCTAAATCGGAAGGTTCGGCATTCATCACTGACCCACTTCACAGATACGTATTATTATGTATGAATAACACTTGGTTTGAATTCAATGGAATAAAAAATCAAAAATACAAGTGGTACAGCTATGGGCTCATCAATCTTTTCTTTAGCAGCAAAAAAATAATGCATGGTAAAGGTAGAGGAGATTACTGTGGAATCCTTAGTCAAACAAGACCACGTTGTAAAGATCTGGTCATTATACGTCGACGATGTCATTGTCCTATGTCAGAAAAACTATTACGTCAAATGATGAAAACACTTGCATAGTGTAACAGCTGATAATTATACAAGAGCAGAAACATGGCAAAATCTCGTTGTCAGACTGTCAGGTCGAGCTGTTCGATAGATTGTTCCAAGCTTCTGTATACTGACGGCAAGCACACGCTAATCAATATTTGATTTTCACATTAATCATTTAGATTTATTATTATTAAGATTGATTATTAATAAGAATTATTCGCAAGATATTTTAAGGATCCAGCTGGTCAGTTATGCTCAGAAACAATAGGTCGTTTTGTACCATGTCCTCCTCCCTAAGATCGATCGAGAATGATCTGAAAAGTCTGAAAAAATGCATTTAGCAAATTCTATATGCGGTATCATCCCGCATAGGATTTTCGAATTTTGACCTAGGGATGAATGAAGATTATTATCGTGTACTGAAGCGAAATGGAACGCAAAAAATTGATACAGGATCCAGACAGGAAATAAGTGAAACTATGAGCCACTGTTTCAAATGAAAGCGAAAACTAAGACCGGTGCTGTAAAAAGAAGACACGAGTCCACCGAACAATCAACGAATATTTTGTCTACCAAATTACCTGCTCAAACAGTAATTTAATAAGCACTGCTGTAACATCACCGCTTCTACGAACAAGAAATTGCTGGCAAAAAGGACCTTAGTAAAATCAATAAGGCATGATTAAGCCGGAAATAACCTTCAGCCGCCAATTACCGCCGGAAACGATTACCACTAGTCACAAAGTTAATTTCGTCACGGCAAAATCTATCGAAACCGATCATGCTGAATGGCTTCTGCCAGAAACCTAGCTTATTCAGGCGACAGACAACACAAAATATCAGAGTTCGTGAACTTGAATATCAAATACATGGAAAAGCATATTCAGACGCTTAGAAATTCGCTTAAAATAATGAAATAACTGAACCAAAATCAGGTCAACAGACACCTAGTGCGAAGTGACAATTGTGGTGAAAATATTTACTTCGGCAGATATTAACTAAGACTAACCCAACTCGCTCAATGAGAATACATAAAAATAGTGACTGTGATAGATTGCATCGATCGAACTAGACTAGCGGGCCAGCCGAAACGTAGTTTTGTGTACAAACTTTATGTATAAAACAATGTTTAAAGAGACCGGAATTAATCTTCATTTGGTAGAGCATCGAAGTCAGAACCGAGTGGTCCAGGGTTCAGGTTCAAACGTCAGTCATTCGACCTTCTTTTTTCTGAGAGAGATGAAGGAGTACCTTCCGTTAGGAAGGAAACAAGAGACTACATAATATGTTTGCAACATCGCTAGATGGGTAATCCTAGAACAGAAATGGAAAACAGCGTAACTTCCCATTAACTTCATGAAAGGAAGGGCGATGGAAATAACCCATGATGGATGTTTAAAGAAGATCGACGTTAAACGGTTTCAGAATTTCCTTCCTTTAGATTGTTACAGAGCCCAAATTTCTGTAGCAAAAAGTATTTTTTCTGTGAGAGGTTTTGATATGTTTAAATCAGGCATTATGTTGTAACAAAATCACTCTAAAGTTTTCGTCGAAAAAAGTAACAATGCGTACGTATTTGGCGTTGAACCACCGGAACGCAATCAATCGCTCGTGATTCGTCTATGGTCGGTGCACTGCGGTTGCGCAACAGTCGAAAGTCCATGACATTCTAAAAGTCAGATGTCCAAAGCACAACAACAGAACGCACCACTGCCGCTGAACTACCGCCAAGAAGTTCAGGTCGCTGCGTTTGAGGCCAGACTCGTCGTTCACCAGCTTCCACAATTCGAACAAGGTGTAAACGTGCGGAAAACCGATGACCGTCCAAGCGGCATCTTCCTCACGCACCACCAAGCTGCTGCCAGTCGCGTTGAGGAAAAACGAGCTTTCTTCGAACCCCTTGACGAGTTGCGACAACTGCATTTCGGCATCTGGGCGGGTGCATTCACCTGAAAAGCAAATAACGAAAGAACAAGACGATTAACAGCAATACGTTTTGACATACCTTCGGACCGTTTCTCGTAATCGTAAAGGTCGAACTCGCACTGAAAGCGGATCCGCAAAGAAAGCGTCGCCGGCGAAACGCCGACACTGGAGCACCACGTCAAAGCTAGGGGCTCGCCGTTTTCGAACGAATATTCAGGCAAATTCAGCGCAGTGAACGAAATGCGCTCGTAGAGGCGTTTACGAATTGTCTCCAACGACACCACTGCGACAG